GGGGGGGGGGTGGTGGATGCCGCTGGTTGTGCTACAAGAGGGGGGCGCTCTAAAGGAGAGGGCAAGGGGGACAACACACAGCAGATTAGCTAATGATATTAGCCAGAGAAGACCCTCTTGTAAAACCCAGGGGTCGCAATTAGTGGATTTTCTCTGAGGTTGCCCTGTGGCCCTTACACACACACGCACACATAGACGTATACCCACCTTTGCTTGAACATGCCACACATAAACAGCCTGAAACACCTGCTTTAAGTACTGATGTAAAGTCCTCTCCCCCTTCTCTCACCTCCTGCGCTGCCTCCCCCCATCTACCCTTTACCTCGCTCCTACTTCTCCCCATTAACACCACTCATGAGCCCCCTTCGCTGTTTGCCCACTGTGAGGACAGACGAACTAACATGTTTGCTCTGCTGGAAACGCACACACACAATCACTCAACGGGAGCAAAGCTAGGACTGCAAGAGAGCCGACAGACTCTATTCAAGAGTATGCTGATACGCGCAAGTGCTCAAACAAACACACACAGACACACACCAATACACACACCCACGGTAGGAACTTCAAAGCAGGGGGGAGCAGAGATTGACGTAACGAGCTGATGAACCTCTTTCTGCGGTTAAGTTGCCAGGAAAGCACTGAGAGGAAAGGTGTTGGTATCCGTTGGAGATGAAAGATATTAATGTTTTAACAAAACAGAGTTGATTGCGAGCATATTTAGTAATGATGATGCTGGGCAGAGCACACACTGATGTTGAGGCTTGTAATCAATCATAAATCTATCTGAAAGTCAACTGACTCGACTGGGATATAGGATTTAATCGTAAAGCAATAAAAAACACTCGTAATAAGTGGAAATATATGAAACATGTTGCCTGGATACATATTATATAGCGCAGTGTTTATGTGAAATTATCAACAAAGTCTTTGTAAATCAAAACAACAATCGTAGTCCATTATGCACTGTACAGTAAGTGTATGTATTATGTATGTGTCAACATGATTGTTCACACTTGTGTATGTTTTCTATGAACACCTTAAATAGTGTAAAGAGCTGCTCACACACCAGCAGCTCTTTGATTCTCCTGAACGCTCGCTTTACGACTCGAGCTGCCCGTCGTCTTTCTTTTCATCCGGGCGGATCGTCTCTGGCAGTTTATGGTATATGACATAAATCTTCCACAAAGTTGACAAACATACTGTTATTGAGCAGTGTGAAGTGTTACTTTATCTCCCTCTGCACCTCCTCCGTGGAGGTGTGATCACCACTTAGAATTACGTACACAACCTGGCTTTCCTGTGACAAGGTGATGAATTACAAGAGCTTTCAAAAACATCTCTTCTGCTCCGACTCTTTCCTGTCTCTCTGGCTCCAAAAAGTCTGCTATAATTCTTTCACTGTGTGTCTGTCTCTCTTTACCTTCTGTCTTTTCACATTCACAAACTGATGGGGTACAGTTATTTCCCTGGAATAATAAAGAAGGTTAAACGAGCAGTATTTCCTGTGTGTGTGTGTGGATAGAGAGAACACTTTGAATAGTCTCCCTAGGCTTGTCAGCGCTGTTCTTTTGTATGGCCTTCCTTATTATAATGCTACTTATCTTATCCAAAAGGCCATCAAGCCAGACGATTAATTTAGGAACTGTATCCCTGGAAACGATGGCTTTCCTCCCTCACTCCCTCCATCTGCAGGAGATTAAACTGAGACCAGCTCTTCTCTCCTCTCTCCTACTGTCCATCATAGTGAAGAATTACCTTTTAGTCTTCTTCCTTAATCGCACTGGCCGCTAGAGCAATCAGACTGGAAATAATGGCTCTGCGTCTGGCTGTGCAGGCTCTCCACTACAATGCCTGGAGACCGGATTGAGGTGAGGACAGGGAAGCCTCCCATTAATGATTCCTCGTAAGTGTCATTTTTCTAGAAATACAGATAGTGTAAAACTATCAGGGTGTCAAATCTTTGTGAGAATACATTTATAAATGTTCACAGGACGCCCTCTCGAGTCAATTTTCTCTTGCTTCTGCGCTCCAGTTCCTCGTCCTGCCTCCCTCATTCGTCATTTATTCGCCTCACTGTGAGCTTTTGTTGAAAGTTTATCCCAGTTCAAAACCAAATAGAGTTCTGAGAATAACTGTGAAAGCAAAACGAAGAGCAGCATTTCTTTTCCAGTGTGTTTCGATCCCAGTGAGAATGTATCAAACTGCCCAACACTTCTCCTCTCTCATTCACTTCACAAACCACCTCTCTTTTCTTCCCCATCGCTCAATCTCCTCTACTGTTCCACTCCTCACTCTGTTCTCTTGCAGTTTGATTCGGTGTGAATTAATTGCTCCTCATATGGGAGACGGCACACGATTAGTCTCAATCCTGATAATGGTGTGTGGCTTGGCCATGGGGAATACACTGCCAATTTGCTCACAGCGCATCTGCCAAATGATTGGTGTTTACACGCCACATCCCCCGAGGAGAGTTTGTCACAACGCCACTTCTTACATCTCAATTACACGCCAGATCCAAAGGCAGACGTCACCGAAGACGCAGAAAAACACACGTGTTCAAGGATTGATAAAAGCTCTATCTTAGGACATGCTAAATCGAGCAGATAGGAGATCAGGCTGATGAAGCAGGATTTAAAGCGTGCACTTTTTTGACTGTTCCTAATTTGTTTGTAGTTTTTAGATGATCACATATTGCCCCCTTTCTCAAACAGTTTACCCCCCCCCACCTGCCTCTTCCCCTCAACCCCCCCACCTCCCTTCATCTCTCCTCCCTAACTCGGTGCTCCTTCTCTGCTGTCCCATTAATCACCTCTCTCTAATTAACAGGCCCACTGTTCCCAATCTTCCCACTGCTCCCACTCCACACCTGGCCCAGCCCTGCTGCCCAGCAGGCCTGCAGCGCACGCCAACACACACACCCCTTCATGCACAGAACACAAACCGGGGCCCAGCTGGCAACACTGACCAGCTCAGAATCACGCCTGGGTGAGCAGAATATAAGAATGGACTAATACAAGTAGTGTAGTATTTCAAAGTTTGTAACATTGTGTTAAAGTATGTGGGAGGATGAACTGGGCACTAAAGTGAAGAGTTGGTGTTGCTTCACTCTTCTCACCCTCCTCATGCATTCATTCACAGCATCATCATCTATTTCTTCTTTTTTAATAACTCATGTGTTCAACTGTTTGCTGTTTATTTCCCCTTTCCAGTTTGTATTTCCTCGACCATCCTCTCTTTGACTCGCATCCCATCTCCCCCTTCTTTCCCACCTTTTCCCTGTCCTCCCCCTGTTAGCCAGGGTGGCCCGGCGATGCAGTAATGCCATCTGCCAGCGCAGCATGGCCACAGCCTCGCGTCCACACACACTCGCCCACAGACACACACAAACACACGCACAGCTTGGCAAGGACACCTTCCAGCGCAGGATATACCGATATCCACGCTTCCGCCACCAGATCACCATAGTCCCACGCATTGTCACACACACACACACACACACACACACACACACACACACACATAGAGGTAAGAATGATGCTGCTGCTACTTAAAATTAAAATGAGGAAATGTAATTAAACCCACACAATCCTGGCAGCAGTAATCAAAATATTAATGAGCAAGAAGTATTACAATAAATATAGTTGTAATTACAGCAAATGAGAGATTTATCTCTAGAAGATTGTTTGTTACTTTCTCTTTTGTTCCCCCTTGCCTGCGCTCCGGTTGTTTTTTTGTATTGTAACAGCTTTTTATTTTATTAAAAGCTTGCTTTAATTTACATCCCCTTACCGGCCTTCTTATTCATACTGCTTTTGGGTCCGCAATCTACGATGTTTCACAAAAATGTAAAGACATATAGGGCCTAATGCTCTTCTTTTTTTTCTCGATAAAACACTTTTCAAAAAAGCAACATTGTGAAGTCTCCAGACAGACATCATATATTTAATTAAAAGAGTACTAAAATAAAAATATTGAATTAAGGAGACCACGCGGAATCAGTGTGGAGTATGAACAGTGTTTGTCCTGCTTGTAAATCTTTTCATGTTCCTACTATGGAAAGTTGGATTTCAGCTGTGTTGCTACGGAAACCAAGTTTACTTTACCAAACCAATAAAGTTCAACTTGAGCTAAATGTCATAGTTCTTCATATTACAGTATACCTCGGACAACTTTTTCTATTTAAATTTTTTTGCTCAAAACGTTACAAAGAAAACCCACCAAACCGGTTGTTTGTGTTGATTTTGTTCCTCCTATTCTAACGTGTCTCCAGCAGTCTACCTTGTAAGCTGACACCACAGTCTTGCAGCAGGCGTGTACAGAGTGTGTGTTAAAAGTGACGGCAGCCTGCACCTTGTTACAGTGTTGTCTGTACTTACATGTGGAGGACCTGGGGGGGATGCACATCTGGCAGAGAGTGATGTGTGTATGTGTGTGAGAGGAAAACTGTGGTGGAGAACATACTGCGGGGACATTTCTATGAAAAGCAAATCTTTTGAAGAAACCGGCTGTTACTTTTAGCATCCAGTAAGTACATTTACGCTTTTTGTTATGAAGTTATGATTGTTGCACCTGTTGACAATTATGATGTTATAAAAGAAAAACACTTAGTAATGTCCATCAAATATCTATACAGATTTTCTCGCAGTTTCTACCAACTTTTTCTAAATTTAAATTATAGTTTAAAATGTATTATTGTGTATGACAGGAATAACATAAATGTCAGATTAAATATTGGTCTAAAATTATTGAAAAGTTCCTCACAGAACTGTTTAGCTTTACATTTACAGGATTTAAAGCACTGTTAATGTTTTATTTTCCCCTTTTTCTTACAGTTAATATTTTCTAAAAAAACAACATACAGTCATAAAAGTGTGTTTGAATGTGAGTTATCATCACTTTAGCGCTCAGTATATAAACACAGAAATGAATCCTCCAACATGTGCATGAGGTCTGGCCTCAGTAGCAAAAAAACGAAAGAAAATGTAGTCAGCGTCACTGAGTCAGAGCTCTCTCAATGAGCAGACTGTTCAGAGATGATCATTGTTTATTTCATCAACCTCACACTGAAACAATCAATCAAAAAGGCTTTTACTTTTTTAAATCTTGTGCCAAAATGGTATTTTATTGTGTTTTACTGGACCTGGAGCACAGTGAGGCTCCAGTGTTCAGGGAGCAGCGGGTGGCCGACCTTTCAATCCTGTGTTGATATGAAGTTTATTTAGTCTAGCAGCAGCTGAAGGAAAGCACAGGGTGAGATGGTGAGAACAGAGCTATAGCTGAAACCTATTCTACTCATTCAATACCCTTTATTCATTCACTAGTGTTACATTACCTCTTTAAGCTGTACTACAAAGTGACACCTGAGACAGCTGATGGAAAAGCTACAGCTGCCAGCAGTGCTGTTGGACATCCACTGGAAGTTATTAATGATATTTTATGAATAGTTTTTTCAACAGACTGAGAAATACTATCAGAGAGATACTGAGGCTTTGAAGACAAAAGCATAATGCACCAGCCTGCAAGGCAATATATTAACATTGCTTTGATTGAAATATGTTTGTAGAAACAGCAAGACATGTTCCAGACTGAAGAGATTATTCGTTCAGGGACAGATTTGATTCTTTATTTCCTAAGTAAACATTAAGGCCCTGCCAATCATGTAAGAAAAACTGAATGTTGTTAACTAGTTGTGAAGTTAGTTGTTTACCAGACATGAGCTCTGGTTTCATTATTCTGAGTTATGCTGAGGGCCACATGAAACCAAATCATAAATCACTGTGTCATTTTACAGTGCATGTTCAGGTATTTAAGCCAATGCCTCAGCTCAGATCTGTCATTTTGCACACATTTTTGCACACTGGTTTGTAATTGAAACAGTTTTCCCCCCAACAACTGTTTTTACAGTGAAGATGTTCGCTTTTAAAAAACACAATTAGAGGCTGTACCACTGATGCAAATCTAACTTAAAGGCTGTGCAGAGTAATTGCAGTGAAATAGAAACATTTATACATGCATGGGCCTGTGTGTGTTTGTGTGTGTGTGTGTGTGTGTGTGTGTGTGTGTGTGTGTGTGTGTGTGTGTGTGTGTGTGTGTGTGTGTGTGTGTGTGTGTGTGTGTGTGTGTGTGTGTGTGTGTGTGTGTGTTTGTGGGTCCTGGTGTTTACAGACTTACCCTCAGTATATCAGGAGTATAAAGGCTTCTAGTGTCTGACAGCTAGGCCCTGACGCTGACCTTTGCCTTCCCTTCCCCGCAGAGCCGTCCTGTAGCAGAGGTGTGATTATTGCACCTGGATGTTTTGTTAGAGACAGGAGCTCTCATGCCCTGCTGGTCAACCTGTAAACCAGCCTCAAACTTGGCAGGCAGCCCCCTCTACAATATACTCTGTCCAACGTCTACATGTTTTGTTTACAAAGGAGCCTTTTCACTATGTCCAGTCAGAACTGTGTGTCTACAACATCCCAACACAACCTAAAGACGTCATTCACTGACGTATTTCCTCTGTTATCTTGTGCAGGGATTTGTCACCTGCTGTGCACTGTTATAAGGCAACAATACAACAAACTATATTTGAACTTGTAATGACGTTCTACAACATTGAGCTACAGGTACTTTGCTGCAAAAACACAGGTGGTATACAACTAAATGAGCTCTGAAAGCCAGCTGTGATGCTGCCTGTCTAGGTCCCAAACATCTGCCCTCCAGATGTTATTTTACTTGACAGTTCTACATAAATAAAGTCTTTGTTAGAGATAAGACTTCCATTATAAATGCTACCAACTCAATTGATGGCAATGTGGCGTTGAACCTTAGTGGGCCTGTTCACTGGATGCTTTGCCATCAACATTTAACACAGACAGACAGTCCCCTGTTCCCTTCATGAGGAATTGTTATAAATTATGTGATTTATTCACTTTCCCTCATCAGTGAATAAACATGTTTGTACATTTGGTTTATAGCTAAACTACATAGTATTTGGATGGAAAACAACATAATTGTTACTCATGTTAACATTTTCCTCAAAGCCAAGCTGTACCTTACAACACAATGAATGGTAAAATAGTTGCTGCCGTAAAACAACTTCCTTGAAGTTCCTCTTTCTTGTTGGCATCAGAGAAGCCTACGGGCACTTTCTTTTAAACCAAAATTGCAGCCCATTGCATTGTTTTCGGTTTGGATTCCCGCTCAGTCTTGTTACTCTAACTTTAAAGGCAATTATCTGGCACAAACCAAGCCTCTGTCTCTACTGTATATATTACTCAGCAGATCCAGTGTCCTGCTGCATGTGTTGTTTTCTTAATTCCAGCTGATTAACAGCGAGTATTACTGGCAGTCGGAGCATGTCTCTGCATGGGGCTGAGCTTTATGATGGAGGCTGCTCTGGGAACAGGACAAATGAGCCATATAGCGGCACCGGGAGACTGGCTCAGGGCTGTAGTTGAACATATTATTAAACCTGCAGTCAGTCAGTTTAATCCATTTGATTAATGACTGTGTGTTGTTGTGAGTGTAGTGTATGTGCATGGAACTCAGGGTATGCATTTGGCTTGTATTCTTGCTTTAGTGCATGACAGCTCTCTCTGTATATTTAACTTAAAATAATCCATCATTCTCACTCTCAAAAACCATTATGCCTTGATTATTTATTGTTATCTTAAAGGATAGAAGCACATCTTTACAAGTCAATTTTCCCTTTTGGTTGTTAACAGCTGAACATGTCTGAAACAGAAAAGAGCGAGTTTTGCCCTAAATGACTTTAGAAAATATCCACCTTTTTTGCACTGATGCATTTGTATTGTGTCCACAATCCCTTACTCTTTTGGAATAAATCCATTTACAGACAGTATGAAAAGTATAATCATAACAACAACTAACCTTTTTTTGGGGATATGGTCAAGTCAGTATAATGTCTTCAGATAGAAAATTATAAAAATGTGCACGTATCCTTGAAGTCGAGGCAGCTCACTAGTGCATTCAATGTTTACAAATTGTCATAAGAAGCATCAAGCAAAGCATTAAGATTTACATGATGAACTTGTGTTTTATTTTAATTTTATTTGTGGTACAATTTGTCCTTCACTTGTTTTATCACTTTCTATTAATTGAAAGCCTCCCATGTGTTAGATCCTTGCATGTTGTCTCACTTGGTCTGTTTCTTAATGTGGTACCAAGGTCTCTTAAAAGACAAACCAGGTTGGAATAAGTTCACCATTGACGAGGTTCACCATAGGACTCGCGCAGAATTAAGAAAGCATTCAGCTCAGTTGAATCAGTCTTGATTGCTAGCCAAATCTTAAACTCTCCAAATTGTGATCTTTAACTTGTTCTAGGGTCCCTCAAAGACCGACAGACGTCATGGACAGTGAAGTGGAAACAGGGAACAGCAGCCTCGACAGCCCGATGCACCTGACTGGGCTGGGGATGACCTGTCTTCTTGGTCAAAAGTACCGTCACTCTGGGCCGGGCCTCACCAGTCCTCAGGAGTACAACCAGTGGCTACCTTACCGCCACGACGCCAGCCTGATGCCCATGAAAGAGGACCTGGCTCTCTGGCTCAACACTCTCACCGGTGAGATAGTTTTCCTTCTTTGATCCTCATGCAAAACCCATGTTAACCACCCAGAATGGATACATAGTTGAAAGATTCCTGTTCAATAATTGTATTCCCCCCTATGCTCTACTGATGAATACCTCTTGATAGTATGAGTATGGGCTTTTATTTTAAAGAACAGGTTAAAAAACATTAAACACAAAACCCAAACCTTGAAATACCTCTCCATGGGGGTGTGACTCCAGGGTAAGGGATGTATCCTCCACTTTACTGCATTGTGAGAGAAAACATAAAGGTAGCACATGCCACAACCTGTTGGAAAGTATCTGTAAAGTGAAAAGCCCCTGTCAGGATGAGTTTATGACTGATGCTACAACAAAAAAACTTGTTTGCCAAAGAGATATACAGATTCATTTTCAGAAAAGTGGTTTGGGTAACTTGGTATTTTGTAAATCCATTAATATTTAAAATCCACACATTTAAATAGTAACAATGTTGTCTTCCTCTTGATATCAAGAAGACCCTGTTTACTTTGTTTAAATGTGTTTGTTTGTAGTACTTTGAGCTTTTACTATTTCTTAAAGGTCCCATGTCATGGCCATTTCTACTGATCATAATTCCATTGTTGAGGTCTACTAGATTGATATTGTTCAATGTTCCAAAATCACATTGGTTTCTCTTACAGCATCTCTGTATAGTATATGTATTCACTCTCTGTCCTAAACGGCTCCTGGCTAGAGCTTGTACTGGCATATGATTTGATTGGCTGACGCTTCCACCAAAAGCTTCAGAAGCTTCAAAAGTTGAACATTGCTCAACTTTACGCCAGGAAAGCTCCGCTCTGCTACCCACAATTCAGTTCGGCGAAAAGCGAGGCAACGTGACGTCACCCCATTCAAAGTGAATGGGCAGACGCGTTGGAAACCGTTTTTGAAGCTGTCGAAGCTGTAGTGTGGACGGGCCGTTAGAGTTTTACTGCACTTTTACTTTTGTACTTTGAGGGTTTGTGAATCTGCAGACCGTTTACATGAAGAAAAACCTTCATAACACACAAGGGGACGGTAATAACGGGAAAAGCATGACATGGGACCTTTAATGTCATGCATGTGTTATGAAGTGTGGGTTGAATATTATTTTAAAAACTCCTTTGAAAGATTTTGATATTTGGAAGTAAAATTTGTCTTGAGTAGTTACTGTATGAATCACTGTACATAATGCAGTGTGTGTGTGTGTGTGTGTGTGCGTGCGTGCGTGCGTGCGTGTGTGTGTGCGTGTGTGTGTGCGCGTGTGTGTGTGCGTGCGTGTGTGTGTGTATCCTCAGGTGAAGACCTCATAGCAGACAGTCTGATGGAGAGGTTAGATAACGGCGTAGTTCTCTGTCAGCTGGCACAGCTGGTCCAGGACAAGATGATGGACACCAACAATGGCAAGGTGCTGCAACAACACACACGCACCTACACACTCACTGGATACGTACATTAGGTCTTTGAAAGATCATGTTCCTGATATGACGTTCTTACATGCAAAAACATTTTAAATCAAATTTTGTTGAAAACAATTACAGCCTTTAATTAGAAGAGTGATCCACTGGCGAGCAGATGCAACTTCTGGATCATTCTTCGCCCGAGACAACACTGCCAATTTCCTCTACTGGTGTCGAAAGATTGGCATGGATGAGGCTTACCTTTTTGAGTCAGAGGATTTGGGTGAGTTAAGACTGGAGATTAGGCCAAACATTAGGGATTTCATTTTGCTCTAAAGTGCATCACGTCATGCAATACTTAATTAAACTAAAACCCTTAGACTTTTAGTTTAATCTCACAGAGGTATAAATGATAGAAGAAGTAGAAAGGGCTGTTTCTAGGCATCTCAGTGTTTGTGTCTATCTACTGTAGCCTTATTATTGTGTGAGAACTTCCTGTTCTTTATGTGTCTTCTTCAATCTTTCAAGTCCTCCCTTAAGTCTATAGTGCTTATCTTTTAAGTGACAAATCCTGTAACTGTCTTCTCTCTTTTTCACCTCCGACCCTCTGTCAGAATAAATGTAATACACTTAGCATAACTTATCTTATATGTCAAAATATATAAAATTGCGGATCGTTCCTTACTGATAAAATACATACATGCATTCATTTAAATTAGCTTGGACCAGCAATTAGTTTTAAATCAAATCATTTGTGAGCATTTTTGACTTTTCTGATGAATTGGTGTTATTGGTCAATTACAAAGGTTTTACTTCTAAATAAATAACTCAATACAGGGAAATTTGATCCACCTATGATATGGGCTGTGACATTTTAAAAGTGATGATTGAACATTTATACGCTTTCAGACTCCCTGCCTTTTCTTTCTTACACCTTTGTATATATGATGCTTCATGTGCCAGAGAACATAAAACCCTTCAAAATGCTAACGTCGTTCTGTAATAAGACCCCTCTATATGCACTTCTTATTGGGCATGTCTACGCAGGGCGGCCAATGCGTGATAATGATAATATACAGGTTAACCCCCCCCCCCACCCCCTGCAGACAGACTCACCTTCTGTACGTGACTAATTGAGTGACGGCTAGAATAAACTTACAGGACTCTGACAGGCTTCAGTTTTCTGCCTCAATGATATGAAGGCAGAGATGATTACTATTTTTTTCTCTCCTCTCATCTCTTTTTCTTGCTGCAGCCATGATGATGAGGGTAATGGTGGATGTCAAATACAGGTGAATGAATATCAAATATAATTATAGTGGTAGTGACAGTGTCAGCTCATATATTTTTTGAGATGTTTTGTTTTCTGTTGTTTTGTGTGTTGATATATTAAAGTGTACCTCATTTTATGCATGCTTAACCTTAAACAAATTAATTAACTAGGACGCAGAGCCCCCTTTTCAGTATACAGACAGTAGAGAGCAGGAGGCAGGAAAGGTTGACATATTTATGAAGCTCTCGTGCCCTCATGCCCTCAGCTGCACCTCCACAGGAATTCCTGCTAAGCTTCAAAGATATTGATGCACAATAGAGACGGAACAGCTCCTGCCCTCTCTGTTCAGACTGCGGCTTCTACTTTCCTTTGACACAGACAAAAGTCTATCTCTGAAAACATCTTTCCTTTCAGATGAGTGACCTTTTTTTGTACTTCTACCCCTCCACCCTCTCTGTTTGTTTTTCCTGCCTGTGCTATTTGAAGTCCTCCACAAGCAGCCTCGAGAGGTGTGCCTGTGCCTGATGGAGCTGGGCCGGATTGCAGCCAGGTAACTGCCCTACCCGTGGTTCAGATCCTGATAAAAGAACATTGAACATTCAATCACACTGAGCAGGAAACTTTCCCAGCACAAACAATCACAATATCCATTACATTACATATTACATATCATTTAGCTGAGGCTTTTAGTGCAAAACCATAAAGAATCTAACTCTGAACAACAAGGGAAGTGCAGATAAATTCACTTCAAGCAAGATCACACCATAGTAAGTGCTGGTGAATCAGTTACAAGGCCTACATTTTACTCAACAAGTGCTTTGTTAGTTTTTATACGTTTTTTCAGCAATAACTTAATTGGTACAGTCGAAATAGATGCGTTTTCAGTTTGTGGCGGTAGATATGCCAGCATAGCAAACAGGTGTTTTTTTTAGGGGTGCCTTGTTCCCACTCGCAGTGACGGAGTAGCAAGTCGATAGCCGATACATCCCATATCATGATGCTTAATACTTGAGTTCATTAGTCTTTTCTTGTGATGCATATTGCTTGCAGGAGTATCAAGTTGAAGAAACCCTATTTGGTGTGGTTTGGTGCTGATTTGTCCTTACGATTCCTGACATATTTGTTGAATCTCTCTCTTAGGTACGGAGTGGAGCCTCCCGGGCTGGTGAAGATAGAGCGAGAGATAGAGCGGGAGGAGGCGGGGAGCTTATCTCCATCATCCCCTCTGCCCCTGTCCTTTTTTCCTCCTGCATCTTTCTATTCACCATCACAATCGTCCACACCCCCTGCTCCCTCTCCTCCACCTTCTCCTCCTCCACCTGCGCCCCTCACTCCCAGCACAACCTGTGTGGGTGAACCCCTCGCCTGTGATCTTCCATCAGCCACAACAAACCCAGCAGCTACATGTCAGTCCTCCCTCTCAGCCTCTGACCCTTGTACAACCACAGCCTCTACACAGACGCCTTTGTTCTCTTCATCCTGCACCACTCAAACATCTGCTTCAGCTCCATTGTTAGCTCCCTCGCCGGGACCCACCCTGCTTTCCACTCCCAAAGTCTTCTTCACCACAGTAAACAACCACACTCCCAAAGCTACACCCCCCATCAACTCCCCACCTCCTCGTTCCTCCTCTAGCAGAACGAAGAGCAGGAGAAGCACAGACACCAATGACATTTTGGATGATATTGTACGTATTTTGTTTCCAGTGAAAGTAACCTTATTTGAGCTACCAGATGTTAAAGGTGTATCATTTTTCCTCTCTCTGTCTAACCTTTTTCAGGTGAAAAACATTATCGAGAATCCCCCCTGCAGCTGTCTAACCAGGTTCCTCGTTGAGAAGCAACCTAAAGGCTGCTACCGTGTTGGAGATAAAGTTCTCTATATAAGGGTGAGTATTGTAATGCTTAACCGTTCCCTTAAAAATTGTGTTTATAATTTAAAGAGAAACAGTATGCTGCCGTGATAATATTTGATTAGAAATCTTTTCAAGGTTAGTTCAGAGCCAATTATTTTGGTGATACATTGATACACAAGGCATATTTAGCTGTAAATTACTTTAAAAACATAGGCTATGGGAGATTAGACACATTGTTCTGGATAATCTAATGTTTGGAAATATAACATGATACTTTGATACCATGACAGCAGAGATGTAAACCCAATCTGATGGCTCACCAAGTGAAGATGCGTCAGAGGCTACAACACAAAATGAGATGTGGGTGCTGAGTCCCCCAGGTTATTAATCAACAGCTGAGTCAGCGACAAGTGCAGTGTCAGAGCCACTGATTAGCAATCTTTGGGATGGAGACGTCAGAGGCTTTCAGCCTCCCTGAGTCGTGCACCACCCTTGTGCGTCTGTACAAAGGCTCGAGGAATGGCCTTCGGGGAGGCAGGGTTGCTTGGCAACCAATGGTCAGGATAATACGGGGCTGACAGGATTTTATTCAGTACATAGACCTTCAGCAAAGAGTTCAAACCTGAAGAAAACACACGTCTCTTTCAGGATGCAAAAATATGACCGTGGTGTGCAGATTTAATGGCAGCCCACTCATGTGTGGAGGGTTTTTAAAACAAGAGGAAGGTTCACTCTCCACCCATCCATCTATACAAAAGGAAAGTATAACAGCCTTAAAGAGTATTTAGTATTTGTAACCTATAAGTTCAGGCATTATACATAAATCCATTAAAAGAGTACATGCTGTAAAACAAAACATTTTTATTTTGTTTTGAAATAGCACACATTGTCACAATGTATACATCTATAGATTACACAAGTCACACAGAGGTGTATCACAGCCTTGGTGACTAATTGGTCAGGAGTTGAAACCCATTAAATGGTTTATTAACTGTATTGACCCAACACTTTCTAAACTGGTAATCAATGCTGTCAGCATCTGTTTGCTAGCAACAGAGTGACAGGTACATTTCTGACTGGCTGACAGACAACATATTACATCCTATTCAGGAAATAGTGCCCGTCTTTAAGTCACACAACGCCTGGTTTCCAAAGCAGACCTGTCAATCATGAAAGCATATGTTTGAAGACCAGATCAAAGAAAGCCTAAAATAAGTGACAACTAAAGCGTGATAATACTGTAGGAATATATGAGGCTCAGGTCCAGCAGAATGCAAGAAAAATCTAATCGTCTTTTTTCACATTTCAATATCTCAGCTATTTGTTTTTCCACCCTGTCTCAAATGTCGACCTTTTTTGCTCACCTTCTCTATGCAGGTAAAAGGTTTCCCCATAACTCTGTGTCCATCTGTCAGTTTTACGGCATAATTACTAATTTGTAGAGACTACTTGCACTGCTCTCTTCCCTTTTCTCGGACACAGATCAGCTGTGAATGGAGCGCCGCAGCCCATCGACCCTGACTCCATCCATTACCTTGAGCTGCCTACGTGTGCAGGGAAACACGGCATAAACCTCAATTACCATATAGCACGATAATCTCCTATAGGAGAGCGTGCCATTCAATGTGTACAGACCTTTTTAAAGAGCAGATACTATTGATTACCGAGACAAAGTCATTAGTGAGGGGTTTAATCAGTGAGCTTGTTAATATGCGGCAGAGCATGGCCGTCCCTCATCACGTGTAACCCCCCCCCGCCCCCATCCCTCTATTCCCTCTGTAGACTATTCAATCCCGCTGGCCCTGGAGTGCTCCACCATTCTTTGGTGCTAAAAAAGAGGAAGGCTTTTTTTTCTTCTGCGCGCCCTAGACTCTCCTTCGGCTTTGTGGCAGCGAGCCTGTCTGATTGTGTGAATGGAAGAAAAAGACATTAGAACACCTCAAAATATCATGCTGCATAAATTCTTTGTTTATCATGCAAGAGATGAACTGAAAACCATCATGTTGTGAAGACTGGAGGCAAGTCATTAGTCATATAGACATTTACTACACAGAAGACCCATGTCTTCGTTAGGCACCTTGGCTTTTGACCTTACAATAGAGTGAGACTGCAATTAGGCATATTGGTCCTTTAAACTAAATGCATAATAGTCATAATGCTCTCATAATGATGAGCAGGTATAACATTTGCCATCTTCTCAATATTTGTTTGGTCATGCTAAAATCATGCTAAATTATGCTAACTAGAACTAATTAAAAACAGCTTATGCTTATAGAAAGTCATTTGGCAGGTATTATGTCATTATATAAATAATTCACTTAAGTTATTTCAATTTATCCTGAGGGTAACATGAATGTCTGTTATATTATACATCATATTTTACGACATTTCACCCAAAAACACCAATCTGTAACTTTTCTGTAAAAAACAACTTGCTTCACACCGCTCACAACTTCAACCCTTAACACTCTCTAACAGGAAAGACAAAGTAAAAAAAACGTGGTCAATAATTAACCACTTTTACTTTCAGATATGGTTTGAGACAATGTCTATGTCTTTTTTAACACACAGTTTTAAAAAGAACCAACAGCATCTAGAGCAGTGCATGCGGCTAAAGCCTGCCTCCTACTGGCCGGTGTTTGAATGACTCTTCCTCTATGCTCATGCATCTTTCAGCAGAAAAGCAGAGATGGAATCAATGGAGCTGCCAGGGAGGACACAGGGGAATCCAGACGGTAGTTTATGGGCTGCAGATTTAGCACACTCTTTACGGAAACCCGACGGGGGAGGGGGGAGTTGTAGAGACAGAAATAAAGGAGTCTGCCTGACAAAGAGGTCTTGTGTTGAATATTACAGTGCAGAAAGAGGTTTAGGCACTATTTGTGATGTACATAATACAGTTAAATATAGCTATAGAAACATTCAAATCATCAAAAAACATTTAATATTGTAGCTTTATTTAATCAGTTACGAGACCTGAGAACCAGAAACAGTCAGAAAAGCACACAGGATTAATCAGAAAAAAATTAGTCAAAAGCCTTAAAATATTACATTTCAAATAATCAAGCAACCTTATTAAACTATGAAGGTATAACTCTATTTTTTTAAAGTAGGTAGGTAAAAATAAAAAAGGTGAGTTTGTGCAAAGAAAATATTTACATTTAACTGACACTGTTGTAGAAAGTTGTGTTCATTCATATTTTATTTCTTAAAAGGCAGCTTTGCCTGGAGAGTGAATTTTTGAGGATGAAGTCAGGATTGCATTGCCTGCACGTCTGACAGGAAAGTGTTTTATTGTAGATGTCAGACTTGACCTCGTGCAACCTCAACATTTTAATCTGCAGGATGACAGCTGAGACGGAGCGCGTCTGGGTTTCCTCTGTAGCTGCATGTGTCGTATGTGTGTCAATGCTTGTACCATGGCTTTTTCATCCCACACGTGACACACACCTCCCCACAAGCAGAGTAGATCTGCTTGTATTATCACATTCTTAATGGCTTCATAATGAAGGGTTTATTGGCGATAAGGCAGGAGGGGGTGGGTCGTTGCTGACAGGACAACGGATGGCTTTGCAAGGCCTCCTGGGAATGTTAATGCCTGCTGGGAGTTGAGGGTCTGCGCTGAACTCATCTCAATTTCTCCTTTCATTTTTTTTTTCTCCAGGCTTTATATTGTGGCTGTAGTTGCCATAGCAGCGGTTGGTTTTCAGCTGTAAGGGCGGTTGTCTTTGAAGGATGTGTTGAATCAGATACAGCTGACCTTTCTGCTGACTGCTAAAAGATATACTTTACAGTCATTATTTTTAAAATTCAAAATACTGTTTATCAGGTGGTTTGTGTTGCAGATCTGTGTGGGTGTGCCTTTGTGCGTCACTGTATGTGTGCGTATGTTCATATGTGGATTTGTCCTGCGTGTGTGCTCAGCTGGTGCCATGAGGTGTTGTTTCATTTGCTTTAATGAGATTTTGACAAAGCTATCCGAGACATCATTTGCCTTTCATAGCCAGAGCTACAGAGGCTTGTAAATTAGATTGGAGTGTGTGCGTGTGGAGAGGGGAGGTCTGCTTTTCAGTTAATTGAGAATTCTATTCATAAACACATCCTGGAAGTAAATATATGCAAACACAAATGTCTCCAGCGTTCCCTTCTTGACTGTGCTGTCTTGTGTCACCTTGGCAGATGCTGAATGAGCGCCATGTGATGGTACGTGTAGGCGGGGGCTGGGAGACCTTCATAAGTTACCTGCAAAAACATGACCCCTGCAGAGGACCGGTGGGCAGACCTGAGGTCAGGGTCTGCAGGGTCAAAGCCAAGCCCCCCAATCTGAACATCTCACCTGACAGCTACATGGTGGTGGGGGCCCACTGCCGTAACAAGAAGTAGACTCTCAAACTCACTCTCACTTTAGTAGCCGCGCAAACATTTCACTTACTGTAGTCAAACCAAACTGTACATGGTCAATGATCGTTTTTTCATTCAAGATTAAAATAAAATTCAACTTTTTCTATTGAATAAGCGAAATATGATGTCCTTATCTCATTTGATCTGTATGAGTTACCCAACTTACTGTAACAACTTGGCAGTGAAGCTGCATTATTGCATTATGAGTCGTTAAAGTAAATTCATTGGTTTCTATTTTAATTCTCTTTTAATCGTCTAAGTCAAGAAAAAGAGTGAGCACTTCCCCTTTTTGAGACTTATATGATAATAAACACTATATCGTTGGGTGGGAAGTATTGTTGAGTAAAAGCAATCTAAATAGACTACTCAGGGCTGTGAGACAATTATTCACTATTTTCTGACATTTATAAGACTAATATGAAATAGAGAATATCATGAAATATTTATCAATCATGAAACTAATTTTCCGCAGCTGAACTACAGGACGTTTACAATAATGTCAATATGAGTTAAATGATACATTTGTTCTGATGTCGTTCAGTTTATAAAATATGTGTTTATGGTACTGTAGTATATATTTTTTATTTCTGAGCTTTTGTATTTTGTTCTTGCAGCAGTTTGAGTAGTAGTCGTTGAGTAGTGATTTTTTTGTATTCTATGTGGAGGTATGTTTGTGTATTTTACTGGATAAAACCTGTGTTACAAATAAACTTTAAAAAAATGGATCTTTGGTTTTTGGAAGATACTAATTCTTGTTTGTCTTAAATTACAGCTTATAACATTTCTTTTTTAATTCATCATGCTATGTCATGAATTTAATATTCTCTAACATTTAATGGATACAAAACGTTATTGTATATTTCTTATCACTTTTACATTATGAGCGTGTAGCATACATTTCCTTTCCTCAGGCTTTAAGAGGCAAAGACACAAACATCAAGTCCTCCCTCTAGATGGCACCATGTCCTAAGTGACAAAAGGCCAAGCCTCGCCTCCATGTTTATCTGGAGGAGGGTGCTGTCATCCCTGGGATATTCATCTCTTATGTAGACTGGAAATCGGTTTTCAGTCCCATAAACAACCTCATGCCCACAGATAGCACTAAACAAATCGATGTCTCATCAGCACGATTTGGAGAGTCACATATTCAATGTTTCAAGATTAAAGGAGAGTTAGTGGGGAAGATTTACAAGCGAGTATACAACTTTGGAGAGCTGAAACTGCAGAAAACAAACAAAAAGTCACCGCACTTTAGTAATTACATGTTTTATTTCAGTAAAATAAATTAATCAAAAATGGACACAAGTTTTAATATATTGAAAGAAACTAACTGTAATGAGATCATGCAAGACTGTAATGTCTTTTTAGTTCCCACATAACATCTGTGGATTGAACCAGTATAAATGACTTGTAGAAAATAATAGCTGTGCTACTGAAACAAGTGCCACTCTGAACGGAGGCGTTTTCACAGGGCATCGCTCATCGCACAGAGTACATTTCTATGTTCCTCATGTAAAACAGAACAGACGGAAATTGCCACTTGAAAGGGATTTTACATTTTTCACAATTTGAAATACATTGTTACACTGTGTTTACCTCATTTGTTCTTTAATGCACATCATTTTGTAATGTTATGTCAATCTTGCTACTGTGTGCTTCTGTTATTCTGTAATGTAACTCAAATCAATTGCAATTTTTTTTCTTGAAATACAGACATTTAAATGATGTTGGTTTACTTGAATTGTACCATTTTAGATATGGGGGGCGTAAACATATGCTTTAATTTTTTTCTCGTAATATTCTTCCTGCACATGTGCAGTGGTGGCACCGTACTGGAAATGTCAGACTTCCAACTATAATACACAAAAAGTTAGAGTAAGAGTTGTGTGCAATTGTGCTTTAGTCCTAACAACACATTATAATTGCACCATGTACTTATACATTACATGTTACTGCTTACAGTAATACTTATATTACTTCGCATCAGTTTGGGTGTGAACTTACAACTTTATAAAACCAAAACACCAAATAGCATTGCATTCTGTGAGTCGCAGGATGCCAGAAAGTACACTGACTCAGTTGCGAGTGTAATGTCCACAAATATAAATATTATTATATTTATGGTATGTCCTTGTTTCTGGCATACATATTTTCACAATAAGAGCCTAGACCAACTGACCCTAAACACACAACATTGTATGAACCCAAACTCTTTGTAAAAGACACAACAGGGTGCTTATTACATGCTCTGATCATCTTTAGCTCCTGTTTGTGACCTAGCAAACATATAATGTATAACTCCACCTGCTCAGACTTTAGTTGTACAGGCTTTTATGAGACCCAGCAAAGTGCAAAGATTCAACAAGACACTGTAGATACATTTTTCAATCATGCCTCAGGTAATTTCCTCGACTTCTGAAGAGTGGTAGCCTCGTGAGGAGGTTAATGGTGATGGTGAAAGGACTGAACATCACACACAGTGTTATTAACACACATTTGAACACCTTTTTTTTCTAAGAAAGTTAATAGCTGATAGAATATCTCATGACTCATCTTCAGCAGTTTATAAAAACATCATCACACATGGCTGTAATATTCTTGTTAGCTTGTAGTGAGTTTGAAAACTGAAAAATAAATGACTTCTAATGACTGGGGGGGAAAAATAATATTTGCCTAACAGAAAACTGTCTGCTGTGAGTTATCATCTTCAACAAGTGCCACCGAGGGAATTGTTACCTTTCCATTTAACACAGTTTACATTCTTTACTCTGTGGCCTCATCCATACCCCATACTATGAAGTGTAAACTTTTGTAAGTTAGTATACATTAATAGTTGTGTTTTACTGATGTGAACTCATCACACACAATTTGTTCGCCACACCTCAGCCCTGTTAATGAAAATGGCACTTTCCACTTGTTAGTTTGTTGTTTTCGAAATGTTGTACATTAACACAACACTTGAAATTGAGTCATATCATTATAAACACTTAATTTTCTTGCTTTCCCTGTGACAGCACACCCCAATTAAGTATTTGGAATACAGCTTTTCAGTTACATACGTAACTGCAGTCCTCTCTAAATTACTATTTGCGCTTTTTCGACATTAGTTTGGGAAGTATTTCTTATCCAACCTTTGAATCACAAGTAGTATGCATAATACATAATATACACTTTACAATTTAGTAAGTGAGTACACATTAAATACTTAATGCTGAAGAAACGATACAAGATGTGTTCCACACATCAATCAAATTGGGAATTTAGATTGCATTTCATGTTTCATTATGCCCATGTCTTTTTTTGTATAAAGCTCCTCCATTTCTAGTGCTCATTGCAGTAAGGTCAATATATTCAGCTTGTTCAATTTTGTAGTGACCCAAATTGTGGCCAATATATGAGGACACTTTGGCCCTCTACCAATTGTGTGATGTTACTATGAGTGCAGAGGAAGATTTGCAACACAGCTTGTGCTTCTGTTTTTAGCTACATCAATGAAGTTGCCTTTTCCCCTCTAAAATGGCTTAACTTGCTTGTATTACCCTTTAAAGGCTGACCAAAATTGAAAGCAAATAATGGAGCAATAAAATACTTCCTTTACACTTTGGTTTCTTGTTTTGCTCCATCAGCAAACAAATGGGTTGCATCTGTCAGTTTGGTACCACAAAATACTACTGAATCCAATAATGGATTAATCCTCAAACCACCAGCCTGTGACTCTTTATCCTCTCCTCACTGTATGCCATCACCTCGAAACAAACAGAAAACAACCTTTCTTATTCAAAATCTACTTTACACAAACAATGATCTGGATCTACATAGAGATGCTTTTGTACATATAGACACTTTAAAGAAGCATCAAATTATTTTCTTTTCAGTGAAGATTTACTTTAGTGTATTTTAAGTAACTGACACGCTGTTAGATCCATTCTGTGCTCTGCAGAGGTGGCAGACGTCAACTCCGGGGCTCATGTTTGATATCAGTTAGTGTGCTACACCAAAGATAAGCAATGGGCAGTCAACGGCAAAAAGAAAATTCATTACGAACAATCACACAGAACACATCACTCGACTGAAAGAGGAATTCTGACAAGACGCTCAGGCCTGATGTGTGTTTCTTTTTTTCCATATGGAGGATTTCTTCCATGATTCATCCAGAGTAATTGAGTATGTGTGGAAAAGCATGTTCTGGTGTTGGTGTGTGTGTGTGTGTGTGTGTGTGTGTGTGTGTGTGTGTGTGTGTGTGTGTGTGTGTGTGTGTGTGTTGCATGGGAGTGTTTGTGGCTTTATGTTTAAAGAGAGCACCATTTTAAGACAAATATTCTTCAGAGAAAACAGTCACCTTTAGATTGCCATGAATTCAGCAAGTCAATCATCTGAACCAAAAAAAAAGTATTATGTGTGCTAAGAGAGCGTTGCTCCAGTCTTACGTTACTGTGGGTGTTAGTCTTGGTGTTCCTGGAGGTCCCTCTGGGATTTTTAAGATTAGGTGTGTGAAGTTTGTTGTTCGTTTGCTCCTTCGGTCATAACTCAGGCACACTGAACACTGAAAGGAGGTGGCAATGTCGAGGGTGGTGTGAGATGGTGATCAGACAAAAAGGGTCTCAGAGTTAACATCAAGGTTGGAAGGGTGTGGTTTTGTGCGTTCGGTGGGTCAGACGCTGCACGACGCCTCTGTCACACGGTTCCATTCTCCTGCCTCGGCTTGTGGGGTGTTGTGCGAGTGGGCGTGCTCAGGGAAGGGGCCAAGGTGCAAAGGAAGCCAGCCAGCAATGTGAGACCCAGACCCCCCCAGGCACAAAACATGGACCAGCCATAGCCATGGCTAATGTCCTCAGGCAGGCCGTACATGTTGCGGGGGTAGCGGGATAACTCAAAGTTGATTCCAGCCACACATGTGCACAAGGAGATGATGCAGCATGTTCCTGTGTGAGCGGAAGAGACAAGCAGTGATTTAAAATGGTTTCAGTTTGAATACTTAATCCTTACATGTGCTGTACATCTTACTACAGGGCAGGAATCAGGTTACTGCAGGTCATTGATCTACTACCTCATGCTAGACCAAAGATGCTCTTAGCTGTCAAAAAATAACAACAGAAATGGAATAGAATGGATTTTGTATGCATATGTGTGTGTGGATGTGTGCATATGTGCTCTCACAGTACCTCCCATGAGAAAGAGTAGCCCAGCTACATATTGCATGAGGTCATGCTGCTGGCAGCATCCCAGCACTCCGATGATCCAGCCAAAGAGAATGATGGACACGGCCATTCCCACAAAGCCCGCCGTCATTCTTCTTAGATCTGCAGGCAGACAAAATGTCACCACTGACGAGTGAAACTGAAGACTTTTTTCTACAACTGATTTTGCATTGTGGTAAAGCTGGAGTCTGTTGCCGTCAAACTACAGAGCGGATGGAAAAGCATCCATCACTCTATCAATATCAACATTTCCTTACACATTTTCTTGAAAATGTACTAGGAAACAGAAAAGGAATTTGTAAGATCTTTGAGAAAAATGTTTATAAATGCAAATTATATACAGTAATAAGCATAGAGAGTATATCATTTGGGTTTGCATGAATGCTAATAAACGAAAATAGGAACAAGAATACAAATCTAGAGCTAAGGCTTTGGTACAGCATGTTTTAAACAAAACATATCATAGCAGGAAATCATACTACTGAAACCAAAGCTCAACCACCTTCATCAATATGTATTTGGACAGGGTTATCAAGTAAGAAAGACAAAAGTGTCCAAGTGTTTCAAGAGGAGATTTTAAAGACACTGATCAGTCAGACCTATTGTCCTCAGATAAGCCACTGTGAAGCTGACGGCTTCCTACTAAAGATGATATGATAACCTCTGATCATGAGTGTAGTCGTGGAAGAGAAGGGTTTAAAAAGTCGGTGATATATTCAGGAGCGAGGGGCAGTGTAATCATTCAAACTATCCTGAACTTAACATGTAATTAATGTAAAGAGCCTAGAATTGTGATCATTTTTATTATTGTGCTAGTTAAAGTTAACCTTGCTGCTGCATCTGTAGATGAACGATTGGAAATATCTGAAGGGAATGGCAGCAGAGGAAGACAACAGCATTCATTTATTTCACATTATATCTGTAAAAAAGAGAAAACAAACAAAAAAGAAGGCTGTTTTGTAAATGTATTTGAAATGTAAAAAAACAAAACTATTTTGATTTAATCAAAATGTACCTCTGTTAGAGCTGAGTTTACACACAATGGGATTAGGAGGAACATGTAGAATACAAATAAGACAGGGCCAAAAACCATGCCTTGAGGAACGCCAGATTTAAGTCGACTAAAGCCCTGAATGCAAGTGGCAAGAGATAACATTGGAAATGGTAACTAAATATGTATTAGGTGATATGTGTGTCGTATCTAATTAAGTATTGAACGATGAGATGTTTGTTCATGGTTACCGTAAACGTTTTTTTAACGCTTAAAAAGTAAATTAAGTGAATTGTTAGTTAAAACATTCAAAACCAGATAAATTGTTGTGGATAACTACAAACATTTTTAAAAACAGATAATCAGTGGCTAATTTAATTCCACCACCTCTATATGACAGACAAGACTTTGAGACTTACGGAGTGCATGCCACTCATCCTGTCGTATGGTCTTTGTGATGTTGATGGGTACATTTCGTGGTAGGATGGACGAAGAGTAGTGATACTTGACTGCGGTACATCTTTGAATTATTCCTGCCGGAGAGGAGATGGAGAAATATAACTGGATCACAAATACATTTAATACAAGCAAGTTAACAAAAAACACAATTTAGTCAAAATCTCATTCAACACACAACTAAAATATTCATTCATTTTCACACCCTCACTTAGCTTTATTTTACTGAGATGGCCTTATTAACATCGTGTTCCCAACGACTACTACATTGTTATTAAGGAGGGATCAGAAAACAATATGTATTATTCTACAGAAGGCTTCATAAGGAAGCATACTTGTTCTCATTCCAGGTGAATCGCTCCATATTGACTGGATAGTCAGTGCATGTAATGGTGTTCAAAATAACGATACATAATTGGATATATTCAAAAATATAAGTACAAGTATTTTGGCCTCAGCTCCCATTCAATATGTAAAGACACACATTTACTTTAGATTTCAATGTTTCACATGCATCTTCCCTTAATTTCCCATTGTTGAGGAAAGACATGTTATTTATACAGTACTATGCATAGAAGCATTGCTGACATGTTTGTTTTATTTGGAACTTAATGGTTTGATCAAACAATTTGAAATGCGTTTGTCAAACATTGTTAATGTCCAATTTGTAGCCTTTCCTTTGCATAGCCAGGTTTGTGATCGTCTAGGCCTTGATCTGAATGCTATTTGTTGAGGCACCCAAGGCTACTTTAAAAAAAAGCATATTTCATCGCAGCATTTCTGTCCTAATATTTCATGCATTTCAATTCAGACTTAAGTGTCATGTAAATAAAAGCAAACCTGTGATACCAAATTTGAGTCTCAGCATGTTTGTTACTTTGTTGTAAATCTAAAACTAATAAAATAATGAAAACGAATGTGTAAAATGGAAACAGCTGCATGCTTAACACCATATACTGTTGACATGACATTAGTCAATCAGAAGCTTTCAGTAATGACGCACATCTTATGTTCTGGAGTTGTTAAAATGTAACTTCAGTTAAGACTCAACTACCTTGATTCATAAATAAATGTGTTTGTTTAATTACTTTAATTTAGCTAAATACATGTTGGATGAACTTTGAATGCCCTGCAAACTGACAGTAGATCTACAAAGATATTAATGATGTGTCTGATTAGTGTGGGAAGAAACAGACTGTGTTTGATTGACATCTTCCTGTACTCCTGCCTGCTTTGTTGCTCCTTTTGGGGCGGGACAAAGATGACGTTTATAATTGTTATTGGTACATTGATTGAACACCTGTGTGGGTTTGAAAGGCCTAATAAAATGCTGCTCAAAGTTCAACACTGAGACTGTAGACTCTTATAAACAGACGTGGAACATGTCTTTAAAAACCTTTAAGTGATAATTTAACAGTTAGAGAGAAGAGTTATTCATTTCCCTGCTGTCAAAACACTGAGATCACAAAGCCTGTATAATAATGGTTGGACAACATCAGACACATGTATACCTGTGCACTATTAAACTACACAAGACATTAGTCACTTAAAGGCTATTTATGAATTGTATGCATCTGTTGAAATCTGATCTTGGTTATGTGTTAAATTGTGGACATCTTTTAACCCTCCTATTGTCTTTGTTTCCCGTTCTTACTTTGGTGTTCGCGGTCAAATTTGACCGGTCCTGTTTTAACTGCTATTACATTAACACAAAAAACATTAATCATCACCAAATGTCATTTAACACCCTTTCAAACTGTAAATATTGTATCAGACTACTGGTATACATGAAAAACTGCAGTAAATATACAAAGAATAGACACTGAACATGTATTGCGTGTGCCAGGTGTGAACACATCTAGATTATGTGTGTGTGTGTGTGTGTGTGTGTGTGTGTGTGTGTGTGTGTGTGTGTGTGTGTGTGTGTGTGTGTGTGTGTGTGTGTGTGTGTGTGTGTGTGTGTGTTTTATCTGATCCGGATGGTTACTAATTCCTTTTCTTTATGGCGCTCGTTTTTGACACCATAGGTGTTCCCGGTCAAGCATTCAATGAAAATTCAATGAAAGTGGTGATCAGCAATTTTATATGTTCAAATGTCTACTGTGAAGGATATCATAAAGCCTTAATGCAATCGAAAGTAAAACAAAAACGTTATGATTGATGAAAGTAGTAAAGTCAGATTTGACCCGAAGACAACAGGAGGGTTAAACGAGTTTGGTTCTGTGACTGTACGTTCATGATTGTGTTTAAGATGTCGAATCACTTCGACATGTGTTCCAGCTAATGCAATGTGTGCATGTATCTAAACATGAAAATGACATAGACAACCTGAAAAAAAGAAAGCTGCCTTTTTCCCCATACCTATAAAATGATATGCTTTCTGAATTGATCAGTCATTAGCAATTATAAATAATAAATAATAAAAGTGTTGTAAAAATTGCTCAGGTAATGACACCAATATGTATCCTAAACATTATCTAAGGGGCAAATATGATCACAAGAATCAGACAATGCTAAGTAAACCCCTTAGAGTTATCATGTGTTATTTTGCTGTAACTAGCAATTTCCCCTCTGTGGGACGATAAAGGTATTCTGATTCTGATTCACTTGTATTAGATTACATATAAGTATATCTGGGGCTACTAACACTAATAGTCAATAAGATATTGTAGAAATGTGAACACAATCATTTGTGAGTAGTTTATCACCACATAAAGTACAAAGTGTAGATATAATCAGGCACACATGTCCAATTCATAACCAATACAGTAGAGACAAATATCAACTTGGTTAAGCTTGTAAATATATTTACACAAGTATATGTTTGTAGGAGATTGTAAAATGTAATGTTTAAACTAGTTTGAACTACATGTAAGTTAAATAACAGGAAAAAGCACAACCTTTAAAATGTAAAACAGGATTAAATCAAGACCTGTCTGAGAATGTCAACAACAATATCAAAAAGGTTGCATTGGGTTAATGGGTATACTACAACGTCTACAGTCAACTAAACAAAACTGTGTTCTCATTATGTACAATATATGAGAGATCAAAAACATTGTTTACTCTTTACCATGAACTTTTGACAATATATCACAATCTTTAAAACCAGAACTATTCGTAGATCATCTTAACCACAGCCTTTGTGTTGTTATTGTCTTTAATGTGATTTAAATGTTTCATAAATTAGACATTTTTATGATGAAACCTGTCATTGTTGTTTAGCTCAATACAATATTGATGGCAAAGACATATAAGGATTAAACAATATTAGTCATTCTTCAGGGACAATGCTTAGGAGAGAAAACTGTCCCTGGTATGTTTGTAGGTGTCATTTGACAGCTGAAATCACTACAACTACTTGTCCCACCCGTGTTTCTGCACAGAATCGTTCCCCTCTGTGTGTCTGCTCAGTTTTAGGATCTGTCTGGATTAGGTATACCATAAATGAGTGAGGCCTGGAACATGGCTGCTCATTGTTGTTCAATAATGAGGGCAGTGCATTATGTTCTCTATGCTGGGGCTTGAAACTCAAACAAAATGTATCAATGATTCAGATCGTTTTGTAGGAAAGAAAAAAGGGTAACATTAACCTTTAAAATATGTTGTTTGGTCTAGATGAAAAACGGGTTCAGAAAATAGAGGAGCAGCCATTAGAGAGAGACTCAGTAAAAGGGGGATCACTCAGCACATTGGACAGCGAAATGTACCAATAAATGTAAACCTTAAAAAAAACACACATGCCCATCTCGTCTTGTAACCTTCAAATATAAAACGCAGATAGATATTAATGAAAGAGGGGAGAGGGCCTCTGTACCATCCTGTTTGTGTCAGGCTAGGTGTGAGCTCATCGCTGAGCATCACGGCCTGGTGCACACAGGGAAAGCCAGACCGCTCGTGTTTACCTTTGTAAATAAGGTCCTCGGTCTCCAGGTCGAATCCCTCCCGGTGACACTTCCTCCAAAGCCCGGAGATGGTGGAGTTAAACTGCCGACTGCAGTGAAACTCCATGGCAGACGCTGCGGCCAGAAAGTGGCGCTTCCCCCGGATGAGAGCTCCAGCGTCTGGGCCGTTACCTTTCCTCTCCAGGCTCTTAGGAGGCATCTGGAGGGGGAGGTTGTGGTTGGAAATGTAGATGTACCCCGGGTCGTTTCGCTTGTTGGCATAGTTTTTACACCTCTCTCGATGTCTCCGCGCGTCAGTTTCGTACCAGTAATCGGTGCAAATGGCCATGGCGAGCAGCCCGAGCGCACAGAAAGCCAAGAAGAGCCCTGTGCCTGTTAATATTTTCATAGCGGCCATCTTCCCCGCTCGATGGAGAGCCCAAACAGTCGCAAGAAGGTTCCTCCGTGGCCGTGGTGGTGATGGTACCGCGTGAAATGAATCACGACGGCACTCACAGCCTCACGCAGTCCTGCACTAGGAGCATGATGGTGCAAGGCCAGCGTTGTCCGGACTGGATGCTGCGGTCTATTGTTGTGGTACCCGGCGGATGCAATGTTGTTCTCACCATCTGTTATGGTACAGGAGGAGAGGGGATGGATGGCGACCAACGCTGTGAGGAGGAGGATGAGGATGAGGAGGAGGCAGGGCAGGAATGTAGTAGCGCGCTCTCTCCTGCAGGTTGCTGCGGGATGGGGAGGACAGCTGCTCTGCTGTGGGGGAGTGGTCATTTGTGAAGCTTCAATGGACACCTTTTGGATTTGGTAAACATGTAAAGTAACAGATGCAGGTGCGGGGGGATTTTATATGGAAATTATATTTAAAATAATATTTGTATTCCGACCTTGAAAACATGAACAGCAGCAGAACAAAGTAAATTCTATAAAAACACGAGTTCTAATAACATAGGAACATAAGAACCAGTTTCGAAAACCTTCCTTTACATTATTTTGTAATATTAAACGTTATTTTAGAAAATGAATACATTAATCATTTAACACGCAATAGACTGCGGATCAGCATATTAACTTACATAAGCATATTAACCTTAATGGTTCTCACCATTAGAAACTATTAATTCAAAGTGCTTTCATCCATGTATGGTGATGCAATGAGAGCAGGAAAACCTTTTGTAAATCGGCAAAAATCCAATATTAGGAAAAGCACATTAAACTTCAGTTTAAAGAAGACAGGTAAAGAAAGGGCATCAAACAAGCAATACATATATTTGAATTCAACATGGTAGATAAGATCTGTTGCAATTTGTAAATATTTGTGTGTCAAATACATTTGGTTATTTGGCATTTGAATGCCTTTTTTTGCAAGGTAAATTACAGTAACATTGTAAACTTTGTACAACACACTTTGGCAAGCATGCTTTTAACTTATGTCATTAAAAAATGTTTGGATTAAATCAATTCCTAAATTTACCAAAAACGTACTTACTCTTGCATACACAGGTATCTTTAGTTGCATATTTATAAATGGCTCACACTAAAATAAGTCTCAGTCGATAGATAGACCATCTGTTACCTAGATTATTGGAATTGATTCCTGATAGTACAGGATAACGTTACAGCGATACAACAATTGTTTTCAAGTTCTTTTTAACTTCAAGTTGTAAATCATAAGTTCCCGTGTTGGAGAAATTCCAAATTCAAAGTTTTGTTGTTTGACGTGTTGACTACAGGCAATAAATCCAAACGCTGATAAAACATTTTAGGACTTTGTAAGCAGAACTGTAAAACAACTGAGCAAACTGTAATATTTGTCCACAAGACCAACCAGATATTCTAATCCAGACTCCTGGAATGTACCACTTGGACTATAAAGTTATGAGAACACAGCGGAGTATCAATGAAAAATGTGCCACTCAAGTGTTTGCACTGCCGTGTACACAGTGGCTGTTTGTTGTCCTTCTGTGCTGCGAGGAAGGCTCCCACAGACAATAGGCAGCTCGCAGGCTGATGACTAAGGAAGGCAACCCGCCGCGGAGTCGTTATGGCAACAGAAGCTTGCCAAACAGAATGTGTTGATATTGGACGACGAGTGTGAGTGCACAATCAAAGCCCTCCTCCCTCCACTCCCATTTTAGGCACAGGACCTTTGCAGTAAAAATATCTGTCCTCGAGGACACGTTTTTGTGCAGCGAGGTCAAAACACACTGGGCTGCCTCAGCGTCTTCACACAGCTCTACCAATCAATACCAGGATGAACTACACCCACCGAGATCATTATAACAGCCCATTGAATATTCATAATAATCACATCCTAGTGTGGTTATGGCTATTATTAATAAACAGCTGTTTTTTGTTTCAAAAAGGTCTGAACATTTTGTTTATTTCCTTAGGTGTTGAAACCTTCACCAACAGCTGTGTCAACAATGCAGTGCTTTAAACAGTCCTGTATGGTTATCAGTCCCTGGTTTCAAAGGATGCGAGGCAACAACTATAAGTATATCATTTTATTTCCTTTATTTTAACTTTATCACAATTATTCACTCAGTAAAAGATCAGAAATGTGCAGACCACTCGAGTGAGAAAAATACAAAATAGACAAAAAACTAGTTTGGTGTAGAGTTGACATTATTGTAACAGGCCACCCTGACTTATTTCTTAATACAAAAATATGTAATGTGGGGGTGCACGTCTGAATAAACTATATTTAGCTTGTCTTATTTTCAATAAATATTTAGCAGATACATTAAAAGTAACAGTAACAATACATACAAAGTTTAAACAATTTAGGTTTGAATATCTTTTAAAGGAGGTTGTCCTTGTAGCTGTCTAATAATACCTGTTCTGTTATACCGGCACATCAGCTGTACCTGTGTAAATGTACGTGCAAAACAACATGATTGTCTGATCACCAATAGAAGACAATTTGGTAGAAAATATTCATACAAACTTCACTTGACTTCCTGGATGTTTAAGATTGGCACATTTGACTAGTGTCCAAATAAAGTGTCCTGTCAGCAGATCAAAAAAGCTTTCCTTTGGGTCGTCCGTGCAAAAAGTGCCGTTCTTCTATCAGATGTTTTTCTTTGTAGTGTAACATGATGTTACGTTTCCAGGAATGAGAGGTACCAGATATGAGGGGTTGGTTGAGAGCTTTAGTGTTTGGTTAAGGCGAGAGGGTGATTTCCTCAGCGTTCAGTCAACGATGGCAGAGAGCACAGCCATGACAGCCATGCCACAGAAGATGAGCAGGACATGCAGGAGGGACTGCCTGTGAAAGCAAACAAAGGGTACGGATTCAGACAGATTCAAGGACATAAAATAAATATGCCTGTTTCAACACCACAGAACAAGTTATACAATGTGTTGTTTGTAAATATCTTTCGGCAGAGTGCTGCAGGGATGATGTATTTCAGAAGGCTGACCCGTTTGTATAGCACATAACAAAAAGCCAACAGGATTTTGGATATTTGGAAAATAGATCCTTAACAAATAAACAAACAAACAAACAAACAAACAAACAAACAAACAAACAAACAAACATGTCTGGTACTTATTTAGTTCCGCAAGATAATCTCCACATATTAACAGCACTTATATGTTTTTATGTCTCATTTAGCCACCATTCTATTTAAGACAAAGAAGTTTCAGAAATTCCAGAGTGGAGTATTTACTGATATGCAGTATTTTATGTTATGAACAAACTCTCAAAAACGTATTTTAAACACAGACCGAATTTCACGAATCTAACCAAAAACTCATTCAGAAAACCCAGCCTTAGTGCTATGGAACCATATTATATACTGTGAAAAGCATAGACTGTTTATAAGAAGTGACAAAAAATATTGATCAACACATTTTTAGGCGATCAAAATGTTTTAATCAACTTCATAATGTGAAAACCCACTGTGAAAGGGTTATTTTTCAGACCCAGAGCAGCCTGCTTGCTCATAAGTAGGTCCTCTTTGTGTTTCTGATGCAAACAGGCACATAACCCATACCATAAACTGGACTCCTCCAGCAGATCAGGCACCACATTCACCATAGCTATGTAGAGGAAGCCTCCCGAGGTGAAAGGCAGTATCCAGGCAGTGGCATTTTCTAGGAAGGGAAGGAAATACTTCTATAAAACAGTATCCAGGTGACAAAAATGTATTTGATTGCTTGAATACTTAGAATCTTACCTGTGCCTTTTGGCGACTGAGCACACAGAGCGAAGCAAGCTCCCAAAACACCAACCAGCGCCGTGGACAGCTGCATGCATGCCGCACTCCACCGGTCGAACCCGGCCCTCAGCAGGATGGCAAAGTCCCCCACCTGCAGATAAGGACAAGTCCCACAGCAGACAAATGGCATTACAGTCAGCGTGTTTACAACCACTGTAGCAGTCTGTTGTTTTCTATTACTTTCTGCTATTTAAACATAAAAGCCTCAGGTTGTAGAATGGAACCAAAGACTCTGTAATCTCACCTCATGGGGGATTTCATGGAGCAGGATGGCAAAGGTGGTAAGGTATCCAACCTGCAAGAAAAGATTCATTAACAATGTGCCCGGTATTATTAATAGGGAACTGTATTCTTGAAAGCACCCGTTGAGTAGAGTTCTAAGCTCTATGTGTTCAGCGAGCGGTGCATAGTGCAACGAAGGGAAATGTAGAAGAGCTGCTCAAAGAGTTGCAAAGCTGTGACAGCTTAAAGTCTTTTATAATTCCACATGAAGAGGATGATGAGATATCAGTTGTGAGAAAGTGTACTTATACACACACACGTCACATCTAGGTAAGAGGCTATTGAATACCTGCAGGTTGACAAAATAAATCATTTCAAGGATGAAAACTTGTTAGAGTTAGACAATAAGAGAAAAAAAGCCACAAGATAGAACAGAAACCTTCTTTCTTGGAATTTCTTAAAAATTGTTAAGGACATTATGGTAAAAGATCTCATTGTAGGAAATACATATTTTTTTATGAAACTCTTAATATATAAACATTGGTTAAAATTACATTGAGTACCAGAAGCAACATTTATCCGGGTAATACCATTTGCTTTTTTCAGGTGGGCCAAAAATGTTAACATAGCTGAATGATGTAATGTGGTTTGTAGTTGAGCCAATAATATAATTAGAAAAATTAAATAAAGCCCTAGTACAATTTTGAACAGCTCCCTTTAAGTATAACACTTATTTACATTTTGGAGAAACCAGCTCGAGTGTGCTAGAATTTGAAAATACACAACTGGAAAAAATCTGCCACTTCCTTCCAGAGCCCCTCCTCCAACACACACGACCAATAAGATAAGTTTGTGCACAGATGGAAGGCTGACAGGCAGGTAGGCCATCCAGTTATTTTAGCCGGGCCGGCTATAAATATGATTGGTCGTGCTTTTTACAGTAGGCNCAATAAGATAAGTTTGTGCACAGATGGAAGGCTGACAGGCAGGTAGGCCATCCAGTTATTTTAGCCGGGCCGGCTAAAATGATTGGTTGTGCTTTTTACAGTACTACGGCTTCCACAGATTAATTTTTTAATGGATTTATTGTCAAAGCATTTAAGATATTCATTGCTATCGGGATTTTAAGAGCACTCCATGGAATATAACAAAAAGTGTTTCTGAAATAAATGACATGATCCTCATCTTTGTTAATAACTGATACAAATATATATTTTTTAAATGTTCAACAGCAATTCAGAATTAAAAACTGTGAACATCTTCATGTTTAATTAAAGTGCATTGATACAGATTATTTTTATTGCAGCATTACATTGTGGCAAAGTCACAGTGTGATAAATGTGCTTGAGAGTGAACAGAAAGCACCGGTGAGATGTCTTGTATGTGTACGTTTCAGACACCTTGTTAACTTCCTCTCTGGCACGGCTATGTGCGGTTCATGCTGCTAGCCTTATGTCCCTCCAGCTGGACTCTCTCCTTATAAAAGATATAAATATACAGTAACCTACCGAAGCCAGCATGTTACTGCAGTTTAGAGTGCACTTTTTTTTATCTAGCCTGTACGATAATTAAACAAAGAAAAGTTTTTAAATGAAAACGTTGGCTGTCCTGTAGTGATTGTCCACTTTCAGGACTGTAGCTCTGCTGATGCAACAGGTCTTCTGCACACACTGCCAAATTACCCAGATCCATTTCCTCTCTTCTCTTTTATTCAGTATTACTGCGCTCCTCCCCGGCTATTTTGCAGTTCTCTTGCATAACAGTTGATCTTTGAAGCGCAAACAAGCTAAAGGATAGACTAATAAAATAATATTTACTCAGAATGGACCTTTAACAAATAGTCTTTAATTGTTTGGAGGCAGGCTTTGAGTACCAAAACCAATTATTTTCATGTGACATGTTCACAAAATAAAATGATCACATGACTCTTTCTATCATTACCCACGGAGTAATATTTGTAGTTTTCTAGGCTGTTGGCCAGGAATGAGTAATAATTAAGGGGTCAATCCATATTGACAATAACTAGCACTTAAAGGTCTATATTTGTAATATAATCTTAATCATCCTACACAGTGACATGACAGACAGCTGCATGTCAGTTTAAGCAATTTATTTATCAGCCATGATTGTCAGTTCATGATAATGAGCTCATTTGGTCTGAGACCCCGGGGAGCTATTTCAACTGCAATTATACTTTATGAGACAAGGAGCTCATGTATAATAAATATGCATGCTGAGGACTTAATGTGAATGTAATCACATTCTCACATACGAGTCATTTGTTAGACCGGTGTGATTAGAAATGTAGACATCATGAGCACAAGACCCTGCTAACACACTGCTGATGACTGAAGCCTCAGGGCCATAACTGTTTTTCAACTCAATTTCCTGCTGGTTTTGTTTTTAGTTAAAGATATTTCACTATGAAATGTACCATGGAAACTTATGTTTCAAGGGCTGACGGCATGTCATACTAACCTCGAGTTAGATATGCTTTCTTTTGAGATTGTCAAATCTTTAGGCAAAGGATAAGTCTATAACCAAGAGAAAAATGGAGACAAAGCATCTGAGCAACTTCTTTGTGTGTGCGTAAAACACATTTGAATTAGAAATATAGACATTGTAAGGTCACTCATTTCTTGTCTTTTATTTGTTAAAATGATCACAGTCTCTTACCTTTTTGCTAACCATAAAACTTCCCGCTACTGCCAGTCCGTGGGTGAAGTTGTCGATGCAGTTGGCCAGCAGGTTTAGGTATCCACTCGTCTGTGAGACACAAAATAAAAATGACACTCAAAAAGGTGAAGACTACAAGAAGTATGGTTTACTGGAAAGTTTTTTTTTTTTATCTGTCACAGACTCATCTTATTTTATTTAATCGTTTATTTGGCAGGGACAATGCACGGTAATGAACACTTAAAACATTCTAATGTGTCAAGCGTAACAGTGCCAGATTTAGCTTTCAGCTAATTTCCATCCACAGTACCTCACATAAAAATATTTAAGAAATTTACATTTTACAAACATTGTAAAAACAAAATACATGTTATGCAAAAAGTGCAAGAGCAGCATACACAAGTATTTATGACATGGTAATACAATATAGCAGCAACGACATGTAAAGTGCAAGAGAATATACAAGAGCTACATAAAGTGCAAGAAGAGATACCCCTGTAATAAAATGCATTTAGCGGTGATTGCACGTCTGTTTGTTTCTCATCCATTCTTTGAGTTGACCTTTGAAGCTATTGAGAGTAGGACAATCCCGTATCTCAGTTGGGAGGCTATTCCAGAATGAGCTGCCCTCTGGTTTCTGACCTTGTGCAGCGTCCAGTGTGTTTTTTGCGGATGAATTCCCCTAAGGGAGGGGGGGCCAGTCCATGTAAACATTTATAAAAAAAACACATACTTTAAAACACTTACAATTGTCAAAACTCAAGGAATTGTGTTTATCTCAGATGGTACAGTGGTGGTATGAACAAGGCTTTCTGTCAAACACCTTGATAGCCCTCTTGTACAGCTGTTCTATGGGTTTAAGGTTTGTAGCACAAGCAAACGACCAGTTTGTAAAACAGTATTCAATGTGGGATAGAATCAAAAAGTGGAGGTGTGACTTTGCAGCATCGCCAGTTTTATCGACAACTTTGAATATGTTTCTTAAAAGTCAAGTTCGAGTCCAGTATGACTCCAAGATACTGGGAGACTAGTTCTATTTCTGATCCGATTAAAAACGCATTAGATCCTTCGATAAAATACAAGTGTGGTTAATTTCAAATCGGGCCTATTTCAACATCCAATAATTGATATCTTGAACATTGTTTGTTTCAGTTTAAGTTACTCCCAGTTTTGTAGTCTGACCCATTTATACAAAAAAGGCTGTAAATGATCCTTTCCTTGCAGGAAACAAAAGGAAGCTGCTGATTATGTGTCACAATACCTCGGGCAAATAGTTGGTGTAGTATAAACATGTTAAATTGTGTCTGTCCTCACACCCTGTCTGTGCTGGGAAAAACCAAAGAAAGGGATGGGCCAATGCAGGACATTTCTCCATAATATGTTTCTTTTTGTGAATGTCTATTAAAAAAACATCAAGGTTAGATTCAACCTCTTAATTTACTCACAACTGCAGATTTTGAAAGTGTTCTCTTTCTGATTGGACATTTGTATAATTGATTTAATATTGGTACTAAACCACACTGAGATGTAATACATGACTGAATTTAAATGTACTTTTATGTTCATGTTATTTCGTTATGACATGTGTTCGTTCACAAGTCAGATACAGGATTCCAGGGTTTATTTGCACACTTTGGTGATATGAGAAAGGTAAGGGTTGTCCTGCAGCAGCACTAAAGGACTAGTTCTGAAAATAAACATGAGAAATATTCCAAGATAAACTGTTAGAAATATATATATTTATGAGGTATTAGGCTGAGAATATTCAGGGTTTCTAAAGACCTTCAGTAATAAAAGGCATTTCTAAGTAAAACAGCATTTTAATTGCATGGCAAAATGTACTTTAAAATAGCCAATAAGTCTTGTTGGTTTCATTAAGCCGTCCAATTTGCTGGTTCTGAAATAAACTAAAAGGAATCGGGTTGGATTATTAATGAAGCAAAAAGTGCTTTCTTACATACACAACCCATATCAAGTATTTACCCTTAGCGGTGTCTTTTATTTTTTAAATGTGTTGACTGGGAACGTTTTGGTTGTCAGAAGTACCTTGATCTTCTCTGATCTTCCCTGCAGACTCTGATGCTTCGAGGATTTCCATGACTCAGCAGGGTGCCCGTTTCTGAGTGATGCCGCTGCCTTTCCATGGGAAGCTGCATCAGACCGCAGCTGTGGAGGAAAGAGGAAGAAAAACAAGGCAAAAATAAACATATAGTCCCAGCCTCTTTTTTATATATAGCATTTCTTAAATAAATAATCCTTATGTTAGCATTGCCCATCAGTGTCCACCATCAGTAATATTCCCAGTCATTCTAAAAACAGACAGTCAATGCTAGCCTAGATTTAACAGCGCAATAAACATGGATTTTATTGTTGCTCCCACTGTGTGAGAATGGCTTTTAACTCCTGCTGGCAGAACAGCTGTTGAAGAGAGTCCTGATTATTTCTCTAACTTCCGACATGCTCAGGAATAACAGTCATTTGTACTTTTGCTGCATTTTTCAGATCTAACAGATGACCTTTAAACACCACTCAACATTTAACTATATATGATGAATATAAAAAGGAGAGACTGATTCATTTCAGGCTAAAGCCTCTGTTTTCCGAGAACAGACAACTTCCTTGTTCCCTCTTTCAGAAACCACTTATGTTGCCATTTAGACTGATAGGCAAATTAAATGAAAGGAAATAGCCTGCTGTCTTCTGGTCGCGGCAGGGACTTTTTTGCTCCATGTCTATGATTGAAGCATTAGGATTTAATAAAGCATTGAGGTTTTCCGGTCTGAGATTGGAGCAAAATTATCTCTTTAATATACCCGATTTAAATGACCTAGACATAAAGAAGGTGATTAAAACTCCTCTTCACATTTCCTACCAAGCATTGTAGCTCTCCACACATATCCATCAGAAACACTCTTTGGTTATATTTTCCCAACCACATATTTTAGGAGGAAGACATATTTTTAACCTGTCTGTCCCTCTCACTGCCACACTTTATTGTTGCCTCTGTCTGTAAGCTGAGTGCTCTCCTGTGGACAGTAAAATGGCTAAAAAAGCTATAAATAGTGACGGGAGGAGCTGAGCCGTGGATGCAAATCTTCTCCCTCACTGGAAATACAAATACAAGAGAGGGAAATGACAGCCTGCACAAACACTCTGCAACCAGCCATGTCTACAAAGAAACCAAGCATTAATAAAGCGTCACATTTATAAATAGCATTACCAAGCAATAAACTCTCCCTTTGAAACTAGTTAACAAACTAATTAACTAATTCAACCTAGTACAGAGTAAATATGTCTTATATGTTTAAATTTGCTCATTGATTAACCCATTTTTTCCCCAGAAGTGTGCTGCTCGGCTACGCACCGCGCCTCACTAAAACCCAGTTCAAATGCACGTTTAAGTGTATTGTGTCCTAATATCTGTCCTTCTTAACACTCAAACCGCCAGGGGTCGCTGTATACCTAAAACCGCCAATGGGTAAAATTGACCCGCTATTAGAATGCATTGATTTTCAAGGGACAATGTTCTTTTATTTATCATACTAGAACACAGGGTTAATAGTGAGTTTTGATCGCACAGGGATGAAATTTATACCAATATAATCTGTGGACTCTCAGCTTTCATGTTATATCTAGTTTGTGCAGATTGCATGAAGTATAAAATATTTCTACGGTGAGTTATGTGCAAAGTGTCTCTATCTATCTATAACTATCTATCTATCTATCTATAACTATCTATCTCTCTCTCTCTCTCTCTCTCTCTCTCTCTCTCTCTATAAGGTACCGCAGTAGACAACAGCCGTTGCTATAGCAACACGTCATGTTTATGTTTACGCGCGAACTGCGGTACCTTATAGAGAGAGAGAGAGAGAGAGAGAGAGAGAGAGAGANACTGGAACTGGACAGTACATTTATTGCACTAGTTTATCTGTTTTATTTGTTCTATGTCCTATATATATGTCGCACTGTTAGAGGAGCCTGAGACCTCAGTTTTTCATTGCCATATCTACACTGTAGCTAAAGTGCAAATGACAATAAAGGCCTTGAAACTTTAAACCTGAAACGTATTACCCCAGCATGAACAAACCCTCTCTGTTGTGTCTGTGCAGGTTTACCTGGATCCCCTGGGTTGGATGGTCTTAATGGCCTCGCTGGACCTAAAGGCCTCCCAGGAACACCAGGTGGGAACGCTGGAGGTCGTCCAGGAGCTTCCGGTATTCCCGGTCTGAAGGGAGAGAGAGGATCCTCCTACCCCGGGGGACCAGGATATCCCGGAGCCAAGGGAGAGAGAGGAGACCAAGGTGAGCTTCACGGGAATTAAAGGTCACCTATTGTGCAAAATCCACTTTTTCATGTCTCTTCTACATCAACATGTGTCCCCTCTGTGGAAAGAGACTCTGAAAGTTTCAGGAACAAAGATTCTCTCTCTTTCTGTCCTGATCCATTTCTATAAAAACCTGTCTGAAAATGAGCTGATCAGACTTTGGACACTTTATGATGTCATAACGATTTTTGGCTTGTTTAACCATTAGCCAATCAGCAACCAAGGTAACCCCCCCCCTTATCACCTGAATCTCCTCCTAGAGCACCATTGTGTCCTTTTTATCTCAGAGGGGCGTGGGGAGTGGCTCCTTATTTTCATCTAAAGTAAAAGACAGAGAATCAGCACTTTTGAAACAGGGCTGAAACAGAGGGGATTATGGGATGCTACAATGCACGATCTGTTTGGTATTTCGAGCCAAACACTTCAGAGACATGTTTTGTATATATCTGAGACTAGGGGTGGGCGATATAACGATATATATCGTCGTGACGATATTAGGTCTCCACGATATGCTTTTTCAGAGATATCGTATCTATCGTGATAAAAAAAATATATATATTTGAAGAAAAAAAAATTTGAAAAAAAAAACTGATGTGAAAGACATGCTCTAAAGCTGTCTATTCAGGATTCAGACAGTATTGCACTTTATTTATTGTCTTGTTTGATTCTGTTGGCTTATATTTTATTTTATCAATAAGGTATTTATATAGTTTTTCCCTTCAGTTATGCTAAAGTCTTTTATTGCACTTCAAGTCTAAAGTTTACATTTTAATTGTTTGGCACTGACTTTTCCTCATTGATGTTTTATGTTTGACTTATTTATGTTTTACCCTCCGTTTATTGATGTTCACTGCTAGTGCTAGCTCAGAAAGTTCATTTTTATACTGAGAAACTGTGCCTTGAAGCCATATCAAAATGTTGAATTGTTCATTCAGGGATACATTTCAGAAATAAAACCAGCTTGAAATACTATTTTGGTTTGTCACTCCTTTTTGTTTTAGTTTCTGTTACCTTGTAGGTGGTTGTACTGTTAAGTAACTTGAAAAATAACCATACTAACCGACATGAAAAAATATCGTGATATATATCGTCTATCGTGATACTGCTTGAAAAATATTGTGATAATATACTTTTCAATATCGCCCACCCCTATCTGAGACCTATAATATATTGAGGAAAAACAGTATAATAGGGGACCTTTAAACCTACTTAAACACATTAAAGTTTGGTATTGTCAGTGAACGTCATTTCGGAACAGTCGCTCTTCAGATATGACATTACTTGTTGTAGTTGTAATGAGATTGTATTAATTTATCTTTAAGTTAACATTTTAGTTGCAACTCTCGGTTGCAGTTATAACTACATGCACTTTCTCACATATTCTCATGTACAATCTCTCTGCTTCCATCCTAGCTGGTAAACACAACCACTACATGACCCAGGGCTTGTGGGTAATTGCTGGCCTTTTGGCTTTCCTGATCCTGGAGAAGATGTTCCCAGACCAAGACAACAAGGAAGAGGAGGAGGAGGAGCCCACTTCCAACTCAGACCTGAACTCTAACAATGCTGTAAGTATTTTAAGCTGAAATGATTAAAGAAGAATATGCTCAATGCTTCCACAGGAGCTCACTGAGCACAGACGTGTCGTTACAAGACTTCACTTATCTGTTGTCATAGGTATGCTTGCCTTGTTAGTGCTTGATCCTGCATATTTCTATTCAGTGTTTGGGTTATTGTAGCATCCGATGACCTATTCTGCACCCGGGCTATCAGCAGAGCTGCCAACATTTGAGTTCAGCTTGGAGTGAGACTTTTTTTTGGTGAACCGAAAATTCATCAATCTGGTGCACTTTGAGAGCAACATTGAGAGATCTATGGATACATCTCTCAACATCCATATGAAACAGAACTGGAAACAGATTTTCTTTTTCTTTATGGATATTTTACAAATCACTCACGTTTTAAACTGTATTCTTGTTTTACTGTCATACAGTATTTCATAACTGTTTTTCATTTATTCTCATAAATGGTGACCAAACCGTTTGAGACTCGCTGAGATAACTAGACTAAAGTTAACTATCTAAACAGAGAGTCCCTTACCTCACTGAGCTGTAGTTATCTCTCTCGGTCTGACAGGACAGACCTCTACCTCTCCTTGTTTGAGAAACAGCTTCTAATATCCGTTAGCGCAGCTAGCTAACCATATGCTAACAACAACAATGCAAATAGTGAGTTTGGTAGAAATATACTGTATAATAGTAAAGTTATTGAAGATGATGCCATATTTATTGAAGATTTATATTATAAATATTCCCCAAAATTATTCAAAAGCATATTCTTCCAAACTCCTTGCTGTAGTATGACACACAGGAGACTATTGAGGTGTGTAGTGAGTTTGGTAGTAATAAGCTGTATAATAGTGATTGAATATTATATTCTCTTTTTTTGGAGTTGCACTTTGCAGACGGTCCCTGAGCACTCGTTTCTTCTCCGGCTGCGGATAGAGACCAATGTAATGTGTCCAGCTTGGAGGACGGCGCGTATTGGCTATTTTTTTATCAAAATGTGATTCTAGTTCGTTGTCAACCTTACCACGGTACTTAGGAGACGTCATTTGTGTCTGAATAACGTTTTGTTCATGAGTTATTGATCCGTGAAATCAGAATCTCCCAATATCTTTCCAACTTTACTGAACTAAGTCAGAAGACCGTCTCATTTCGTAGACCACTCGGTTTGCTGTTCCTTCACTTTATTTGTTTATACATTTATTTTGGACGAAAACTTAGCGTGAGGAAAGGCAAGTGTGGCGTGAGTGCGTGATATATGGATTAATTGCGTGACT